GTTTTTTCTATAATATTGTTGCACCAGGGCTGCAAAGTGGCTCTATGGTTAGCACTGTTGCCTCGCAGCAAGAAGGTCGCCGGTTCGCGTCCCAGTGAGGATACCCGAGATCTTTCTGCGTGGAGTCTCCATGTTCCCCTGTGCAGCGTGGGTTCTCTCCGGGTTCTCCGGCTTTCTCCCACAAGGTCAAAAACAGGCTGATTGGTGGTTCTAGGTTGTGGGTGTGGATGTGAGTGTGCTTGGTTGTCTGTCTCTAAGTGTAGCCCTGTGATAGACTGGTTACCCTTCCAGAGTGTCTCCTGCCTTCACCCTAAGTCAGCTGGGATAGACTCCAGCCCCCCATGACCCTAGTGAGGAGTAAGCGGTGTATAGATAATGGATGGATGGATGGATGTTGCACCAACCCACAAGAACAAATCCCTCATACTGCATAAACAATAGCTGGCAATCAACCTGTTTCTGATTCTGTGAGGTTCTGCATATACTTTATAAATGGTGAATAGTCTGCACTTATATAGTGCTTTACAATGTGTTTCATTCATTCATTGACAGACACATTCATACACCAATGGCTACAGAGCTGCTATGCAAGGTGCTGCCTGCAATTGGGAGCAACTTCGGGTTTAGTGTCTTGCCCAAGGACACTCTGACTGTGGAGGGGCCGGGGACCGAACCACCAACCTTATGATCGGCGGACAACCTGCTCTACCACCTGAGCCACAGCCGCCCTAAATAAGCAACTCGTAGCTTATTGTACTGCAGTACCGATCAGTACACTTTCCAAGTGAATTCAAATTCAATCACATACCTGTTGATACTTTTTGTGTAGTTTTGACAGGAGTCAGAAAAACACAATGATGATTTTCCATCAGTAAGCTCGTCTCTATCTGCTGTCTACAACTGGTTCACTTCTGTTAGTGTAACGTACCATCAGCGAATCGGTTCCTGACCTGAGACTCAGCCACATGCAAAAAAGTCCAAACTATAATGTTATTCAAATTATATTTATTTTTGAAGCAACAGCAGGCAAACATCACTTTCACCTTAAAAATGAGCCGTGATTCCATGAGCAAAAGAAAAAAACAAATCCAAATTGAGGAAATATACAAATGATTATATCACAACAGCACGAAGGTCGATGATTTCTCTATCAAACCAAAAAGTTGAGATCCAACGTGTGTTTGAGGAGGTGGGTGACTCAGTAGCTTGTTTTTAGGTCAACAGCAAACAATAAAAACCGAGCTTGTGTATTCGGGGACGGAGCCGTCCTTAAAGTGCAAATGAGTAAACATTTCATTTTTACGATCAAAGGTAGTAATTTACTCTGCATGTCCACAACACGCACAGACACACGCTCTAATTATCCTCTCACGCACACACACACACACACACACACAAACCGAGCATCCTGTTCATTAATATCCCTGTAAACACAAATAAACAGATTTTCCTGAATAATACATGGGAAGAGAATAGAACACATTACTGTCTGTAGGCAGGCTAAAGTGTGGGCAGAGTATTCACAGGCATTTTTATTTTTTTAAATCTTTATTTCCCCCATAAAAGAATTTATTAGAAAATGAACGTACATGTAAACATGCTCCTCCGTCTGTGAGGTGTGATTCTGCGCTACAACAAAACAGTCATGTCGTTTAAAACCGGTACAAAAAGGGATGACATCTACACATTTAAAAAAAGAGACTAGCCAAAAAAAAAACCAAACTGCTGTAATTTATTCATGCCACAACAAAGACTTGTGTGTACGCTGCAGCACCACGGAAAGGAAGGGGGGAACAAAAACACAAGAGTCGTCGGTTCGATTGTGAATCTTCAAACCTTGGAGAATCGGGCATCTTTCTTGTTGCTTGTAGTCTGACTCATTCGTGGACCACCATTGGACGAAATTATCTGGGGCTAGTCCTATTTGCTGAGAAAAAATAGATCCTCTGCTCGCCATCTGTGACTGAAGGGGCATAACGAGGCCTGATAGAGGCAGTAATCAGTTCATCAGCAGCTCACGCCCAGACGCTGCGTGTGTGTGTGTGTGTTCATGTGTGTGTGTGTGTGTGTGTGTGTGAGTCCAGGCCTGTTCTCTATACAGATGCAGCATCACCACTTATTGAAGCATATTTGCTGGAAATTTAAATGAATATGGATTCAGTGTGATTTACTGGCTCGCCGTAGCGGACTATGTTTTTTTAAAAGTAATTCCTGGTTAAATGTCCCAGCTGGAAAAACTGGAAGCATATTTTATGTGAACATAATCTCTGGCTACACATCATAGTGTTTAGTTACTTATTTTTCACAGGAACGTTGCAGCAGGAGCAACAAACTAGCTCGAAAAATGTGCTCGGGGAATTTAGTAACGCTCCTTCCCTTCCTCAGCAGCTACTGCCGAGGTGCCCTTGTGCAAGGCACTTTAATCCCCCCCAGCTGCTTCGGCGGACAGATAATGGGAAGCTTCGAGGTGGGAAAAAGCACACAACTTCAGAAAGCGCTGGAAAAACAGCTTCGAATTCCACCTGGATGAATGAAGGTTAAATCGGTCCACATGTATATTCGTACTGACTGGGTTTCAGCAGTCGGAGCGTCCAGAGGGACACACAACACGGTGATTTATTTTAGAGTTATTTTCAGACATGTGTGGGTCACTGTGAGCATCTTCTGCCACACTGACTCCGGCTAACACAGGAGGCTAGACCTGGGGCGAGGTGATACCGAGGGATCCGGGAGGCTGCCAGTTTAAAAGAAAAGCAGCTCTGGGCGATCACCTCCCACAGAAGTGGAGCGGCACGTTTTTCGACACGTTTTCTTCTCCAAAGCCCCAGGCTCGGAGCTCCAGCCGGTCCTCCTCCTCCTCCTCCCTATCGTCTTCCTCTACATCTCCCTCCTCGTACAGACTGGGCTCCTCCACAGAAGTCTCCATGTTTGGGTTGTAGCCGCCGAACGCCCGCGCCTCGCTGTACTCGTAAATGGTGGGGAGGCTGCTGCGCAAACCGAAGCGGCGCCGCAGCGCCACCAGGAGGGGCTGCGGGACGGTGAAGATGTCCACGTTGTTGCCCAGGTCGATCCAGGCCAGGCAGGGGAACTTCTTGGGGTCCTTCACGGCGTCCGTCAGGTCTTTCAGGATGGCCACCGTCAGGCGGTTGCCGTTGATGGCCAGCGTGGTCAGCTTTGGCAGGAGGCCGAGGTAGGGCAGCAGCAGCCGCAAGCTCTCGTCCTGCAGCTCGGTGAAGCTCAGGTCCACGGCCGACACCACGTCGCTGCTGCTCTGAAGGTAGAAGGCCACGCGGTGGACGTCCCGGCCCGACAGCGGGATTCCTGACAGGTTGACCACGTCGCCCGACAGCTTCTTCTTCAGGGTGGTCTTCAGACTGTAGGAAAGATAAGAAAAAACCAAGTTTAGCAGTCACTCTGGTAGTTACTTACCCAAAGACAAGCGCATCTTTACTTAACGATACCGAGGTTATCGATTTATGGGCTCCGTAATGGGGTGCCACAAGTACAGGGGAACTGCAAAGTATGCAAAAAAAACAGAAACAGCATCCACCAGTGTAGAGAGTTTAGCAATCAATAACGTGAAGAAGAAAATTTGCATTTAAATGTGTCTCGGTCTGAGTCCCTCGAGCAACAAATTCCGTCTCTGGGGCTGAACGTCGTCTAAGGAAAGGCACCAGCTGTTTTCACTTTCGGGTGTCACTTTTTTTTTCTCCCCCCTCATATAAGCCAACTCTAAGCTTCTGAGTGCCCATCAGAGATAATAAATAAATAAATAAATTTCCGATTATAAAACAGAGAAAAGTAAACATGTTGCCCTTCTGTCGGAGCCAATTAGAAACAAACGTGTCACCTCGCTCTCAGCTGGGAACAGAGGTTCACCCCTGGGACGAGTGCGATTTTCAAAACAGGGATTCAGACGAGAGATTTATTTTTTGGGTGCGTTTTAAAAAAAAAATAAAAATCAGGTCACTTGTGTCTTAAGTGTTGCGAGCTGACGGGTTAATAAGCCACTTGAGCTGAGCTGCAGAAGAAAAAAAAGAGAGTTTCTAATGCGGCAGTGCGAGATCACGGTCGGCGAGGAGCTTTAAGACGCTTCATTTTCTTGCAGCAGGTTTCATAAGAATCTGGACAGTGAGAAGTTGCAGTGGCACCGTCGAGCTTCGGAGGCGCTGGTGTGCAGATTTTGCTACCGTAGTCTTCCGTTCTAATTCAGCACACGCTCTTAAGAGTTGAATCAGTCCTCTAATCTATCTCTGATCAAAAAAGGCAAACATTTCCAAGAACTTTTCCTTTAAGTTTTGTCAGGATTTGATTAATGCATGTGCAGGACAGACAGGAAGATATAAAAGAGTAAGTGATGGATGGATGGATGGATGGATGGATGCTCTGCAGAAGCGAGAGACAAAACCAACAAGTCATCATCTTCCCTCTCAGGCCAAATGATTTCAGACAACAGGTGTTGAGTGAGTCCATCTTGAGGGAAAGTAGCACTCTCGACTACCCGACTGTCAGGCTGGATCACGGCGTTCCTCGCTGCCTCAGCTCGCACAGGACGGTCTGCAACGAGATGTTCTCTCCGTATCAGAACGTGGTTAAATATGCATAAGAGAGCTATAAGGCGCCGACATGCGTGTCGGCGTAGCGTTAAGTCGGAGCACTGCGGCGCGGCACGCTTTGTTTTTACTGGCATTTGGACTTGGAAGATGTCTGAGGGAAGACATCTGCCAAACAAATGACAATGAGGCAGCAGCGTGGGAGAGTTGGTTTAAAAACAAAAAAAAAGAAGCTGACATACAGGAGAAAAATGTTCTGTTTAAGTGGCCTAAGGTTTATCTTCTCTTTGTCTTAGTCCTGTTTGCCTTTTTCTGCGTCCCTCTGCCTCCTCAGGCACAGCGAGGAGGATTATCCCTACATCTCTCTCTGCTCTCTGGTCTGTCTGGGAGCCTCATAAATCGGCAGGCTGTGCTCTTTACATCTGTCACCCTCTCTGCTCGGTTAAGGGAAAGAAAAAGATCTGTAGCACACCGGGGCTGTGATACGCACGACTATTGATTCCAGGAGTGGGCTATAATTCATCTCTCCCTCCCTCATATCCTCAACTCCCGCTCACTGCCTCTCACTTTCTTGCTCTTTCTATTTTCTTGGCCTCTTTTCTTTTCTTTTTTTTATTATTGTGCAATCTCACTGTCTCTTCTCGCTCTGAATTTGATCTGCTGAAGCAAATGTATTCACGGTTTTGTGCATTCGCTCGAACTGAAATTCTCATCTGGCCACCCCAGAACCCCCTAACAACTGTTAACGTATTAGAATAACAACATGAGTTTCATCGGATGTATTTTTATAAGGCTGCAAATAATCAGTTTCATGTTAATTCTACTCAAAATATTCTTGATGTGGGGTTTTTAGAAGAGAAATTGCAAGATAAATAGAAGGGGTTATGAGATGATTAATAGGAAAGAACACATTTTGTTTATTTGTTAGATTTTTTAAAAATCTTTCCTTTTGATTGTGGATTACTGGGTATTACTCAAACACTAAAAAGCATTCATATGAAACAACCTGAGAAATAAAAAAATAATCGCTGGACTAGTCATCACACCTGTAGACATACTTTGTGTTGTTTCGAGGGCTGAGGAGTTGAAAAGAAACACATTTGAATGTCAGAAAATAGGGAAAATGCACAATTGAGAACAGCCAGAAACACAGAAATATTCCATTTACATGACATAATCAGCAAAAACTCAGACGAGCAGTTCACGTTGACATCTTTTTTGTCACTCACAGATGCATTAACCAGCGATTCCAGCTGTCAACTGTCACCCACTAGCTTCGTAAAACGCTGGGAACTGCATCTTCTCGGCACGCTCCGCCCGCCCTCCTGCGAGGTTTTACTGTACCACCGTGCAGCTTCTGCACTTTGCTGTAATGAAACCGACTGTTGTTGGCGCTGACTTATTTATAGGAGAGTTTTCCTGCCCCTGCCGGAGCACCTTCCCTCTCACCTGCAGGAACGGACCGATTCCTCGAGACAAGGCGGGGAGAAGGTGCCGTGGCTGAGTGGGTGGCGCATGCACGGGGAGGGTGGGCTCTAATGCGCTTCTAATGAGACGGAGTAAAGGCAACTTCAGACTTCCTTCCAAATCTGCAGCCTAACGGCTCCGTGGGCACAGTTCCACCCACAGGCTGCTCGGCTGGCTGCGGGCCCAGGGGCACAGCTAGCATTTCTAAAGCCACAGTGTACACTATAGTCCATCAGCATGAAACGATAACATAAACAACAAAATGTCTCATCTAGCTGCCTCTGATGTGGCTGCCATGCTCGTAGGCAGTGGTACATATCCTCTTGGACCAGCTGAGGCACAAACAACTTCAAAGGGAGAGTCTACCCGCATAAATATGATGCGAACAAGAGCGTCTCCCCTGCTCCGAGACTGGTTTTAAAGCAAATAACTGAGGGGAAATCCATCTATTGACATCCTCAGGAGCAACTGATACAACAGCGCAGCAATCTAATAAGAGCTGAGTCTCATGTGTCAAACTATTGGCTGCTTAAATGTGGGTTCGGGCGGACTGTCTAATTGCTTTTCATAGCCCGTCTTTCCTCGGGGATGTTGTTAACTTTTACGCGCTGAACAAGGGTCCTTGCTGTTCTATAGTTATGTAAACCCCAGAGGTAGGAAATAAAACATCTGGGGTTTGTGATGTCGAAATCGAGCGCAGGCAAAGAGATCGAGGTCAGAGAGAAGTCTGGGAAAGTGTCTTTTAATGAAACATTTTAGAGCGCTGCAGTGATTCAGTCTGTCTTTCATACTGGATAACAAATCTGCAGCGATCCATCGCACAGCGTCGATAAAGAGATTTACTCAGACGGCCTCAGATGTCCTGCGACGACTGTGGCTTCTTCTGCTTCTTTACAAAATAATGTTCTATCAGTTCGCTGCTTTACAAAGACGTAACCTTGGCTTCTTGCACCTCTGTTTTCGACCACACATACGTAGGATCTTTTTTACTTTTCCCCAGACGGCATTAAAGGTCAGTGGCAGATCCATTGATTTCTGTGTTCACACTCATTTTTCTGGCCCACGTACCGGTACCACTCAGTATCAGGTTGGTCTGCATTGAGCCTCTCCTCGTGGTACAAAAAGTTAAGTGCTCATCATTAGGCTGCAGCTTCACCATCCCGCTAATCAATTTCCACTCGAATGCAACCAAACACTTCCCCTACAGCAGAGCGACCGGAAGCCGGAGGGATGAAGGTAAAAAAAAGGGCTGCAAGGGGTAGAACGTTCTCCCCCCGAATTAAAACGTTTCTTACAATCTTACATCCCCGGCGATATTCTGCCAAGCGGAGTGAGAGTTAAAAGCAAATGGCAGCTGGAACTTGTAATCTGTCTTCCCACATAGAATACACGTTCCCCTTCATTTACCCTCATGAATCAGTAATACATCAACAGACAGGGGAGGTGCTGGAGGTTATGTTTTTTTTTTTTTCTCCTCAAGTTGATTCGCTGTGAGATTTAATGTAGCGACGGGTGGCGAGTGTTTTAGGACCATGCCTGATAAAAATAAATACATGTTCATTAACTGTATGTTTAACTCCCTTCGTTTTTAATGTCATTCTGCTCGTACCTTTTTGTAATTCTACTCATTGACTTCTTAGACTGTATGGTATTTATTTTTCTTTTTTAACTTTAATTTATTTTATTTTACTTTATTATTATTATTTCTTTTATTGTCTTCATATACTTGGCAAGAAACAAACAAACAAGGACAAAACAACAACCCTCCCCCCAAACAAACAAGCAAACAAACAAACAAACAAACAACCAACCAAACAGCTGTAACATTGTTACTTGTAAATTGTACATATGGAAATTTTTGTATCTTTGTATTGTATTTTTATTTTATTTTATTTTGTTTTTATTTTATTTTAAAAAATTATTTTTTAAGTTTTATTTCATTTTATTTTATTTTATTTTTAAAAATATTTTTATTATTATTGTTTCTTTTTTGTCTTTCTTTACTTGGCAAGAAACAAACAAAAACAAAACACCTCCTCCCCCCTAAAAAAACAAACAAAAACAAAAACAAACTGCTTGCTTTTTGCTTCTTATTTCTATTTTATTTCATTCACTTTTTGCATATTCATATATAATAATTTATTTTGTGCTATTGATAATAAATCAAACAACCTCCCTTGTGGATCAATAAAGTTTATTTAAGCATAGCTTCATATTAGTTTAGAACAAAAGTAGTTTTAATCTTTTCCATTTAGTCAGCAGAGAAGCAAATAAAAGCTTCTTTCAAAAAAAAGTGGAACTGCTCCTTTAGTGCTTTACTGACAAATGAACAAATTGAGTTAACAACATTAAGT